ACCAACACCTTGTACTGAGCCCGGAAACCAATAGGCAGCCAGTGGAGGAACCGCAAAATGGGAGTAATGTGGTCCCTCCTAGATGTACCCGACAAAAGCCTGGCGGCCATGTTTTGAACTAACTGAAGTTTCCGAACCAGGCACGAAGGTAGCCCCATGTAGAGCGCATTGCAGAAATCTAGATGTGAGGTTACCAGCGCGTGCACAACATGCATCAAACTCGAGATCCCTTACTTCCAGAAAAGGGCGCAGCTGGCGTATCAGCCGAAGCTGATAACAGGCACTCCTGACAGTCGCATTTACCTGATTTGTCATCAGGAGCGACAAGTCAAGGAGCACCCCCAGACTGCGAACACAGTCACTGGAGGATAGTGTGACCCCATCCAGGACTGGAGGTTGCAACCCAATTCTTGGTTTTGGGGCCGCTACTGTGAGTGCCTCCGTCTTGTCTGGATTCAACTTCAATCTGTTTTTCCTCATCCAGCCCATTACCGCCCGAAGACACTACAATATGCTGGCTCTATAAATGGTTTTATACCCTTTAAAATAAAATATTTTCAGATATTTCATACTTTCAGTTAAGTTAAATACCTTATATTATCTCTTTTAGTTGGAGGTCTCCAGTATTGTTATAGTTTTCAAAGCATTATATAAATATGTAGCCACCTGCTGTGAAAGTATACTTCCAATGATTTTTAAAACCATTTCTGTGGTCTTAGCAATTTTGAAATGAACATCAAAACCCAATGAAAGTTCTATTTTGTTCTTTTAAAAATATAATTAAGAGGATCTGTCAGGGCAGGTTTGATGCATGTTGTTGCTAACTGTCCTTGCCTGTATAGCTGTGTTTCAGTTCTTCCTAACAGAATGTTAAATTTGCTGCAGTGTCTTTTGGTGAATGAATGAATGATGGTTAATTATAATAAAACATAAATGTTTAAGAAGTAATTGCTGTTTAAGTTCATTCCTAGTGGAGCACAAGAGCTCAATTATAAAACCACTTTTTCCCCTCAAAGGAATAAAGTGGGAATACCTCAATGAACTGTATGCAAGCTCTTTAAATATATAATGATTTTTGACTTCCGGTGGCAATGAAGTTCTGGTAAGACATCTCTTTGCAAGTACCTGAAGAGTTGTCTTTTTCACTGTGGTTTAAATGACTATATAAATAACAATTCAGTCAACAAGATACCACTTGGGTACAGGGGTTTTTCTGTGGGGTCGGCATTGGGTCTTTTTTTTTTGTGCCTCCTGGCCTGCCTAAAGTGCTCAAAGGAAGGTGCTTTAGTAAAGGGAGAGCTAGCAGACTCAAGACCTTCTGCAGCCCCGGCGAACTTCCCAAAGCAAATTGGGTCAGGAGCAACATTTGACCACATTAGTAATTTTCTTTTTTCATTCTATTCACTCCTGTACTTAAGAGGAGTATTGGGAGCTTAGTTGGGACTATCTTTTTCTTTAGTTTTGTGGTGAACTTTCCAGAATTTAGCTTTAAATATTTTGGGAAATATTAAACGCTATTTTACAGCCTAATAGAACGGAAACCAGATGATGCTTGTGCCTTTAAAGCTAGACATTCTTGGGACTGTAAGAAAAGAAATGTCAGGTTTTTGTTTGTTTTTCGCTCTACTTAAATGATCACAGAAGAAATTTGAAGAAAGCTAAAGTCAAATAAAAAGAAGCAACAGCTGGAGTAAAGGAATATGTATGTATGTATATATATATATATATATATATATATAACCTTACGTAAGCTGATGGGAGTGGTGAATACCAGATGAGGAGAGTAACAGAGTAACTCTATTGCAGTGAACTGCACCATGCGTGGAAAAAGGAAATTAAATCCTCAGACTTCCGGGAAAGGAAACATATAGCATTTTGGGAGTTGTAGGAAGAGAGAGACCTGTTGCTTGGCTAGGCAAAACAGCAGAGGA